GGGCTCAGAGAGTGTGGGCTCAGAGAGTGTGGGCTCAGAGAGTGTGGAGTAATGCCTGCTCCAGATGCTGCCTTCATCATCCCTGACAGTAGGCAGGATTTGCTGGTGATCCACAGCTCCCAGCACGCCAAAGAGCAAGCTCAGCCCACACTGCTCTCTTCTATACTGCAACACCATAGTGAACCTTTCCCCTGGACCTGCCCAGTTTCCCTTGGAATCTGGGGGAACTGCCTTTGGGACCAACCCCAACCCCCATAAAAACCATGGATGCTAAAGACCTTTATGTGAAATTATGAAATATTTGCATATACCCCTCCACAGACTGGCATATGCTTAAATCATCCCTGCACTGCTTACAGTGCTTAGTAAGGTGTAAACATGAGTTGTACTGCATTGTTTAGGGAAGAAAAAAAACGAGAAAAAAAATGGTTCAGTACCAGATGCTGTTATTTTTCTAAATATTTTCCATTCATGGTTGGTTGAATCTGAGGATGTGGAACCCCAGGGCACAGAAGGCTGACTTTGTTTATCCTATTGATTTATCCATTTGGCTGTTTGTTGTTGTTCTTCTTAATTGAATTTGTCTCCTTTTAGAAGGCATATGAAATTACATATTCTCTCAAATTTCCGTCTCTCTTTACTTCTATTTATGTGAGTGTGAACAGAACACTGAAGTGCCTTTTCACATCTTACTCTTTATATATTTTGTTTTCATTTTATGTCTGTGGATGTTTTGCTTGCCTGTATGTGTGCATCCCATGCTCATAGTGCCCTTGGAGGCCAAGAGACAACATCAGATTCCTGGAACTGTAATTACAGTCAGTTATGAGCCACCATGTGGAGGATAGAAATCAAACCCAGGTCACCTGCAAGAGCAACCAGTGTTTTTAACCCCAGAGCCACCTCTCCAGAGCGCCATCTTGTTTTATCATTATAGATGATCAAAATAAAGACATTTATTTTGTATTTAAGTGGCAGTTATTCTGATACAAACATATACACATACATCATACATCATACAACATACAGCCTATAAATATACATATACATATACATATGCATATACATATACATATACATATACATATACATATACATATACATATAGCATAGAATTGCTGAGCATTCCTTTATAAAGATATTTATAATATTTAAAGGAAGTTGGAGACACTGCCTTGTTCAAGTGGTCAGTTTACTGTGCTGTATTTTTTAATATGGACAAAATAGTTTAGACAGCATTTACAAATTGTTCTGTACAATTTATATATCCTGAAATTCAGAACTTTCTTATAGTGATTTTGCCTTCCATATCTTATAGAGTACGGATTATCAAGCCAATTATCTGTTAATTTAATTCAAACAAAAAGACCTTTTTGTGTGTGTGTGACTATCTCAGGACAGGAATCATTGGTTAGATGAGAGCGCTGAAGCTCAGAATCACACGTGGGCTCTCTCAGATCTGTTTGAGACTCTGCTCGAGCAAGTTTGTGGTGTGGTAGTGATGAGGCTGACGTCATGGAAGCCGCAGCTGACTAGCCTCCTCTCCAAGAGCATCACATGGGGCCACGAATTCTAACAATAGGTGTCAATAAAGTTGACACAAATTTTGATTCTGAAGAAAATAACCCAAGTCCTTCTAAGCTATATTGGAAAGTTTTATTAGTTAACCAGAGATACTGTAGCTTTTCAAGCTACAAGCCTGTATACATTTTGACCCAAAATATCAAAATACTCTCCACTGGATAAATGCCTCCAGAAAACTAAAAATCACTTGACATTAAGAGCTAGCCCAAATCATACATCCTCCTTGGTGATGTTAAACTATGAGGTCTGATTTTCACCCCAAGAGAAAGGGGAGAGAAGAGTACGTTTTCGGGGAGCAGTCTCGATGTTCTTCTTTGCAAACATATCCATAGGGCTGGAGGGTGACCCAGTGAGTAAAGTCCTTGCTATGCAAGCATGAGAAACTTACCTAGATCCCCCAGAGTCCATGCAAAGAAGCCAGGTGCTGCAGCCTGTGCCTGTAGGCTCAGCACTGGGGGACTGACGACAGAATCCCTAGGGTTTGCTGGCCAGGTAATCAATGAGTCCCAGATTGAGTGAGAGACTCTATCTCAAAATTGAAGGTGTAGAGAAACAAAGAAAAAAAAAAGCAACAGACACCCATTACTGGCCTTCTTGACCCCAGGCTTCCAGGGTTCACATGAGCTTGTGTAAACAACAGAAAACACCTCCCTTACAAAGCGAACTCTGGCTCCAAGAGGGCAGCAGGCACCTCCGTACTCTGTATCCAGCACTAACTGCAAGTATTTAGAAAGTAAGGTTTGAATAAGTGAACAAATGAATGATAAGCACGGTGTTAGGGTTACGGCAAATACTATTTGTTTTTGATGGAGTTTGCCCAGAGAATACTTTGAGATTCAGTAGGGATCATCTTTCTGCTGGATACACATATGTTTGTCCTCCCGTGTCTGCTGGACATACATGTTTGTGTCACTCACCTACCAAATTACATGCAACCTGAGATTTATGAGGCTGATTTTGACTGACTTAGGAACTGTTGAAACACCTCAGTATTTGATAGATATTTGATATTTGATAGATAAGCAGAGGGAATCTACATCAACTACATAAAATCTAATAGGCTTTCGTTTTTAATTCCCCACTAAACAGGATCTAGTTAGCTTTTTTATTCATTTGCATCAGAGCAGCTGGACTTTGAAATGAGAATTGTTACTTAAGATTTTTACCCACACGATTTTGCACAAAGGACAATATCATCACTGTGTGTATCACCTTAACAGTCTACATCTGCTGTTGGAGCAGAGGTTTGCAAGGATGATCTTGCTATGATTGTATGATGTCAACTGGCCTTTTCTCCTTACAGAAGCTCATTTTATTATTAAATGCAATGCTTCCTTTGGCATCAACTATCAACAGTTAAGTTGACTGAAAAGATCGTATAGAGAGTAGAAAAGCAGCTTCCATATGACAAACTCATCCTTCTGAATATGTAAGGGTAAGATATGAACCACAGAGTCATGTAGACAAGCCACGGGAACATACTATTACTAAGTAAAGATTTTCTGCTGGAAGCAGAACGAAGCACTGTGGTTAAGACTGTGTAACTCTGAGTCGGGTTCTCAATGTCTAGGTCAGACTTTCCACCTGTAACTCCAACCCATGAGGCTCAGCACCTTCTCCTAGTGCACAGCGTCTGCACTCACATGTGCACACACCCACGCACCAATACACACAATCAAAAACAAGTCTCAAACTCACAAGGTAGGAAATAGAGTCATGAAAATACAGATATTTAATTTTTAAAATTACGTTTGTAATGAAGGCTACATGTTTTAGTCTTTCGTGGAGTAGGAAAGAGATTGTATTAAAAGCTGGAGAAGGTGGGGCTGGAGAGATGGCTCAGCAGTTAAGAGCACTAACTGCTCATATAGAGGACCTAAGTTTGGTTCACATCACCCAAGTCAGGGTGCCTGGAAATGCCTGTAACTCCAGCCCCTGGACCTTCAATGCATCTTTACAATTTTCTACAAAAGTTAGAGAAGTGACAGAGGCAAATGCAGCATGCATGCCACACGAATGCACACTGACTTCTTGGTTAAGTGATCAGTTCATCAGACGTGAGGAGGAACAGGTCTAGTCAGCATTTATGCAATCCTGTGAACCTCAGCAAACCATTTAACTTCTTGGGGTCCTGGGGTTTGGTTTGTTTTAATGTCTAAAACAGAGAGGACATCTAAGTATTTAAAGTAGATGAACTCTAAAGGCAGTTCTACTTGAGAAGTTTTAGTACCATCTTAAAAGCCACCTTTTCAGTTGCATATATCCATATAGCCTGTGCCTTCTGTGTTCTGTCTTGTGTGTGTGTGTGTGTGTTATAGTGATCTGTCTAAATTACATATTTGACAAAATTCCTGGAAGTACCATAGAAGGGAGGGCCCCCAAAATTTGTACACAATGAAAAATATTAGTGCCATTAGCTTCACACAGAAAGACTAAAACCATGGTGTCATTTGGAGCCAAAAATGTTGTTAATTATATAATGACATCAATATATGGAAGTAAAGCTCAAACTTTGTAGTGGAGACGATTAGGCACCTAGTCTTCAGCTAAAGGGATAAGGCCACTTTATGACTTGAAATACAATTATAAGTATTTCACCCAGGGGCAGAGCTAATGAAACCAAGGTCACAAGTTCAATTCCCATGTGAGCCATTAGCTCCCCTTCCTTCTGTTGCCTCAGACCTGCCACCCTCTTAACCCTGACTCTCACCCTTCACACTCATCCTGGGGTCACAAAGGATGCAGAGTTAAATCAGCCCCTCCCCTCAGCTAGAAGTCTTAAGGTCAAGCCCCAGCCACGTGACATCATCCCAACAGGGGCAAAGCAGATTATTACTGGATTGTTATTGTTATTATTATTACTTCCTCATCCCACTGGCAGTACCCAATGCTGCAGCCTGTTCAGAGGGCCTCTTCCTTCAAACGGCCTTGCCTGCATGTAAATCCTGACTCTCCTGAGGAGTCCAGTGGTCCGGACAAGCTATTTAATACTTCCAACCTTAATTTCCTCACTTTCAAAGTCAGTACTATAGAGGTATTGTATAGTGTTACTGTGAGGAGTGGATGCATTGATATGGGTAGAAAAACCTGGATCCCAGGAGATAACCGTAGTGGTTGGCTTTAGGTTGCTTTGGTCCTGCAAGCCAGTTAGCACCCTGTAAAGAGCACATAGACGAGGATCTTCCAGTGCTGCTCAAGTCAAGTTCGGTAGGCTGGATGGCTGGAAACAGGTCGCAAGCACTCTATTACAGTTCTCAGTGTTAACAGCACCAAACAAGTTCTCTTCAAGGACAAGCTCTTCCCCAGAGGCTTCTGAGAGCAATCGTAGCTTCTCCTAACTTCTGGTGCTCACAGCATGTCTGGACTTGTGGGGACATTGATCCCGTTTCTTTCCACTCTTTTTGTGCATCCTCTCCTTGCCTGCATCTGACTTCGACCCAAGTTCTCTCTTTTCTCTTACAAAGATCTTCACCATTGTATTGAGGTAGTGTTCCCTAAGGCAGGTGTCCCACCTTGACTCATTAGACAAACAAATACCCTATAGTGTGAGTACGAACACACTAGACTTGAGAGTGTCTCTCTTTCGGGGGTTTGGGAGGAAGGTATAAATTAATTTATGAAAGGAAGAAAGAGAAGGAGAGAGGAAAGGAGAGAGAGGGAAGAGGCAGCAGGAGGGGAGAGAAGGAAAGAAAAGAGGAAAGGAAGACTAGACAGGCAAGTAGTGAATGCCTGGGAAGCAGTCAGTGTTGTAGACCAGAGACACAGAAACTTTAATGAAAGCTCATGTTTAGAGAAAAAAAAACAATAAATGACCCCCAGACCCACTGAACCATCACCTATGGCCAGAGCAGCCAAGTAGTAATGTCCTTCTATGTGACTGAAGCTGAACTCCAGGAAATCACTGTTGGATCCTAAATAGGAAGAAGAGAGGGCAAAGAGTTCCAAGAGGGAAAATGTTCTAAAAATTCTGATGGAACTTTGGTCAAACCATTTAGTGGAGTTCCTGGAAATGGCACTCTCCCCCTTGAATGGTGACTAGCAGGGGTTGTGACATATTGAGACAAACACTTTGGACCTGGCTTTGAAGGTATCAGAGGCTGAATACTCTGGGAATACAGAATGCCTCCACAATAGGAAATCTGAAGCCAAAGCCAGGACAGCCACTTATAACTCAATATGTCTAACACATCTCTCCATACAGACTATTGTAACATCAGGACCTGATTTTGTCTATAAATAGCGTTTTCCTACTGAGACAATTTTGAACCAAAAAGATAAAGCTATTGGGCTCCAGCTTGAGGAGCCAAAGAGATGAGGAATTAAAGTTATAGTTTCAAGGAGTTCCTATTGTGATATGCGTCCATGTTTCTCCTCTGTCAAAGTGATGGTCCATTTTCTCTGTATTGACTCAAATCAACATGTGCAGAGTTGGGGCTGGCACATCTTGCTGTCACCGAACTCTCAGAGGGACGATCTTGTGCACTCTGCTCACAGTTGAGTTTCCATTTAAGCGTTTATCTGCCAGCCAATGAGATCCCAGGGACAGGAAAGAGGTGTAGGAAGAAAACGATGATGGAGTCTGATATTTGAAAAATGGATGAGTTTCCCTAAAGAAGAGAATAAAACTCTGGATGGTATTGGGACAGAAAGCTGGCAGGCTGCCAGCCTTGTAATTACATCTTGAATTGAGCCATAATCCTTGCCGCTTCTGAAAACAGTAAGAACGGGAAGACGATAACCCACGTTTATTTTAAAGACTGATATCTGCTTACTGCTTCCAATGCTTTAAATGCTTTTCTGACGCTCCGGTGGAGGCTGGGGAGTTGCAGAGATAATGGTATGTTTTGGGTAAGCAGGAAGGAAATAATGCATTTCCTAGAAGAAAAAGGAAACTGAACGTTTGGTGGAAAGGAATCCTGTATTTTGTGAGGGAAAAAAATGTATTTTATCTTCCATAGAATGTATTTTTATACGTTTGTTGTTTGTTTAAACAAAACCCTCAGGTTCACGACGTACGAATATAAGCTCTTTGTACACAACAGCGTGGGCTTTACACCAAGCCAGGAAGTGACAGTCACCACCTTAGCAGGCTCTCCAGAGAGAGGAGCCATGGTCACTGCAAGGATCCTCAATCACACAGCCATAGAAGTGCGATGGACAAAACCAAGTAAGAAAGCCTTGTACTTCTCTCTTTTCCTCTCAGCATTAGCACTGTGTTAGCTACTTTCCTGTCGATGTGATGAAACACCATGACCCAAGGCAACTTAAAGAAGGAAGAGTCTATCTATATGAGTGTATGATTTCAGAGGCTTAAAGTCCATCTAGCTAGGAGGCACACCAGCAAGCAGCATGGCATGGCGGTGACATACTTCTCCAGCTAGGCCACACCTCCTAAGCTTCCCCAAACAGCACCACCAATCTGGTATCAAGTTTTCAAATGCCTAGGACAATGAGGGACAGTTATTATTCAAACCACCACAGCCCCACAAGGGATTTAAATGGCACATGATGAATAAAGTCAGGGTGCCTAAGCAATGTATGTGCATGTATGTTCACAAATGCAGATGTGTTGATGATCACGTGTACCTGTGCACATGGATATGGGCAAGTGTGTGTGTGGCAGCCAGAGGTCAATTGAAAGTAATTTTCTTCAGGATAATTGTTTCTCTCACTGTCCTTGAACTCATGGTTTTCCTAGCAAGCCTCAGGGATAAGCCGGTTTCCCAAGCACTCAGTGACCTGCAGACACCATCTTGCCCAGAGTTTTTATGTGGGCTCTAGGGATGGAACTTGATCTTTCAACACCTTCTTCCAAGGCCTGTGATGTCTGACCACAGTGAATGAAATCTCAGTTACCTAATGGTGTATCATTTAGCATCTGATCGGCTCATGCATGGTGGCCTGTAAGAACAACCAGAAAAGAAGTCCTGAGCCGATCATGGAAATGTTCATACTAACCATTTTACCTGCATGACTGAACCAAAACATTTCACAAAATACTGAGAAGTAGCAGCTAGTCTGTACAGGTTCGGTTAACATATTTTATTTTATAAAGCAAAACCCTCACCATCAGAACAGTTATCCACTATTATAGAAAAAGATGTACATAACAGTGGTAACTAGTAGCACAATTTGAGTTAGTCTGGAGTTTGTTATGGCCTAGGAAGATCTGAGTGGGTTTGCATGAGCCCTCTGCCGTGTGATATCCATCATGCATTAGGACTAGTGTTTGATATCATGGACACAAAGCAGAGCCATGTTTGTGACAGTCACTCTTCCATCATTAATAAAATACCCAAGACGGAAGGAAGGACTGTATCATCTCATAGGCTCAGTGCTCAGGTCCACTGAAGATGGAAGGAAGGACTATATCATCTTCCAGGCTCCATGCTTGTGTCTGTGGTCACTTATGTCTGGAGCTTCGAGGCCTGTGAGGAGGTAGTGCACAAGATGAGTGTGTAAGGTAGAAGAAGCTACTGGAATCCTAGCAGCTTTGAAGCCAAAAGAAAGAGGTCATGTGTCAGTCTTCATGCCAACAGCCTATCCGAGCCAGCTTACTGACCTTCACTGGGCACCAACTCCTAAAGGACTCACCACCTCCCAAAGTACAAGAGGCTGAGGACCAAGCCCAGGGTGGGAGGGCCTGAGGGACGTTATATATACAGGGACAAACATAGTGCTGATCTATGCTTCAACCACATAATGTATTTTTAAAAAACACTTCAGGGTTTTGGCAAGGTTGTTGGTTTTTAATGATCTATGGTGTTTCTATTAGGATAATTTGAACTGTTTTAGTGGAAACTTTTAAATGAATTGATCCTATGACTGCCTTCTGTCACACATCTCCAGGAAAAATAGGTTTTATCTGAAACTGAGTTTATTTGTGAGTGTGTGTGTGTGTGTGTATGAGTGTGTGTATGTTACTCATGTGTGTTCACATGTGCATGTGTGAGGGTGTGTGTGATCTGTGTGTATGAGTGTGTGTGAGAGAGTATGTGATATATGTGTTTGTGTATACATTGGTGCATGTGGTGGGGGAGGTTAGGGGGTGCATGTACATGTGTAAGGGTGTGTGTAATCTGTGTGTATGAGTATGTGAGAGAGAGAGTATATGTGATATATATGTGTGCACATACACATTGGTGCATGTGTACATGTGTGGGGTATGTGTATGGAGGTGTGTGTGTGTGAGTGTGTGAGTGTGTGTGTAATCTGTGTATATGAGTATGTGTGAGAGAGTATGGGAGACATGTGTGCACATACACATTGGTGAATGTGTATGTGTGTGGGATGTGTATATGTGGAGGTGTGTGCCTGTGCATGTATGTATGTGAGAGTGTGTGTAATCTGTGTTATATGTGTGTGTATATGCCTACATGTTGGTGCATGGGTGTATGTGTGTGTGTTTTTCTCCATTCTGTTCTACCTTGCCCACCAAGTCATCTTGAGATCTTGTCCATTAATGTAGCACACACACACACACACACACTTTGCAATACTTGAATACTGAAGTGAAGATCTGGCTACTGTGGTCTCACTTGCACACATCCTCTGTGATGTTGTGTCCCTGAAGTGGCTGTGCTTATAGAAGCTGACAAACCTAATAGATGTGAAGTGGCCCGCTGACGTTCCATTACCTCAGTAATCAGCACCTCTGACCTTCGGGATGTAGGTAATGCAATCTGCTGTGATTTCCATTCATACCTTGGAAATTTCTCAGATAACTCTTGTGAGCACAAAGGTTAACTCTGAGAAGGGTCCGCTGTGAAAGCCTGCTGCAGGATCCTCTCCCTCTTCCCTGCAACCTGCTATCTTAAGTAAATTAACTAGTCACTCCTCTGTGAAAGAGCTGCCTATTTTCTCAACTTTAATTTTAATGGGGTTTTTTTGGCTTCATAGAAGAAAAATTGGCGCATAACCTACTAAGTTGAACAGGACTATAGTTAAAGCTGTAGTTTAGCACATCTTGGAATTTAAGTTCTTAAAGAATACATTTTTACATCTTTCCCTAGTAAACATCATCTTTCAAAAACTCATGAAATAAATATTTGTGTTTGTGTGTATAATATGTGTGTATGATATGGGTGTATGCACACACACACACACATTCTGAGCTGGGAGCTGGCTCAGTCTGTAGTCCCGGCATGCCTATGACAATGAGAGGCAGGGATAGCTGACTCCACTGACAATCTCAGCACCTCATCTGGGAACAGATGACTGTTTCAAATCAGAAGATGGGTATCAACACATAAGGATGACCTCTGACCTCCATGCATGCCCTCTTACCTTCTTTAATCTCCATAGTAAATGTGTACTCAAACACATTCACCTGCACATACATGCACACACTTCACACACAGAGAAAATTATAACAAAAGACATGTTATTTCTCTGCTGTGGTTTGTATAAATGCACATCGCTTTAACAGAAACATGTCCTAGGTAACTTTGTGTCAATCACAGGTTGATAAAGAGAAGCCATTTGATATTTTTACTTTTATTGGGACGGAGGCAATAAAACCTATGGTTACTTCCACTCATACCCTGGAAATGTTTCAGGTAACTGTGAGCACAAAGGTTAACTTGGAGAAGAGTCAGCTCAAAACCATTTGATTCAGTACTTGACAATTTGCCTGCTTCCCTCACACATGTTTGTGATGTGAGGTAAAAGTATCTCTACTTGTTTTCAAACTTTTTGTAGGAGTAGGGGGATAGACAATAGAAGCTTCCAGCACAAAGCTCGTACCCTCTTTCTCTGTTCTCCTCCATGCCTAAAGCATCAGGAAAAAGGAAAAAGTAGTATTCTGACACATTATACCCATCAAAAGATGTCACCTAAAGACAACTATCTCTACTTTCATTTTAAACATTTATTTTTATTATTTTAATTTAGTGAGTGTTCATAGTTAGCAATATCTTTTACTGTTTCCCATATACTTCTATTTTGCTTATAAATAGGGAATTAATGGGTTATTTTTTTCTTTATTGTAATTCTCAATGTTTACTTTATAAATTATTTTCATTGTTATATAACATAATATAATACAATACACAAATTATATACAAATATATACATAACATTTCTCAAAATGGCTCTAGTACTTAACATCAGTCCTTAAAATTTTCTCAATGCTAAATTCTGGGTTTTAGTTCGCCTTTCCATCTGCTGGATGATGATTCCAGAGAGTTTTATCACGAACGTTCATTGACTTATTTTACTATTGTTGTAAGTGTTAGTTTTTTGTATATGTGCACAGACCTGAGTTCTCAGATGAGGTCAGAGGGGAAAGAACTTGAAGGAACTGATGCTTTTCCCACTGTGGCTTCCAGGGTTTAACTCAAATGGTCAGGCTTGTCTTTCCCCTCTGAGACTTCTCACAAAGAGCCTCCATTACATATCCCTGCCTTCCCCACTGGGATGAGCTGTACCCTCCAATCTCTTGAATCTGAATGAGCCCTCCCAGAGGTTGTTGCCATTAGGTGTTCTATCCCAGCAACAAGGAACATAATGAGTACATCCTACTTTGTAGACAATCCTTAACTTTTAGTTTACTTTAACCGTAGTATACCATGATATACCTACATTTGGATATATTATCAATAATCTGGGTAAGACGATGTGATAGTGTAGGTGAACCCATAGGCTCGTATGTTCAAATACATAGTCGCTGTTTGATGAGTCTGTTTGGGAAGGATTAAGAGGCATGGTTTTGTTGAAAGAGGTGTTTCATTGGGGGTGGGCTTTGAGGTCTCAAAAGCCCACACCAGGCCTAGACTTTCTCTCTTTCTCCCCTTCTACCTTGTGAATAAAAATGTAAGCACTCGGCTATTGCTCTAGCATTGTGCCTGCCTGCTTCCAGCCATGCTCCTCACTGTAATAGCCACAGCCTCTAATCCTCTGGCAGTGTGAGCCCAAATTAAACATGTTCTTTCATAACTTGCCTTGATAATGGTGTCTTCTTAAAGCAATAGAAAAGTAAGTTATATTATATTCTCTCTATAAGTATCTCTTCATGTGGATAAGGCTTAACTAATATACCCATGATTGTTTGCTGTAGTGTATGAAGGTTCTGACAGGCCAGCATCCTTCCATTCTCTGCTTTCTGCCCTTCCTTTCTCACTCACACACAGGGTTCATCCATACTTCAGGCCCACAGGAATGGAGTCAGACATCTCTGGCCTTAATCCTATAACACTGACTCAAAAGAAATGATTCCTTCCTTTAAGTTGGTCCCTCTAGTATTTTTATTATTTAGAACTTTTGTAAAATATATTTTAATCATACTCTTTGTCTTTTCCCAACTCCTCAGGAGGATCCTCCAGGGATCCACATCCCTACCTACCCAACTTCATGTTCTTTCTCTCTAAAAATAAAATTATTAAAGAAATGTCAAACACACACACACACACATGCACACATACACACAAAACAGAACAGTAAGACACAAATGACCAAAACAACAAAGAAATAACAAAAAAACATCATGTAATTTGTTTTGTGTTGGCGAAGTACTCCTGGACCTGGGGCCTGTCCTGGAGTGTGGTTGATATACCCAGTGACACTCCATTGGCTAAACCTGATTTTTCGCTTGCTAGCATGTATCATTGTAAACAGCGTCCTGTTGGGCTGGGGCTTGGTGTACTTTCTCCTCCTCCTTGCTACAATGTTGTTTGCTTTGAACCTGTCCTTGTCTTACCTACCTGTCAATCTCTGTGCTTTCACACTGTATCAGCCCCACTGTGTCTAAGAACACACTGTTTCCTTGAAGTCATCCACCACCTCTGGCTCTTATAATCCTCCTGCCTCCTCTTCCACTTAGATCTCTGAGCCTTAAGTGCAGGAGTTGATAAAAACATCCCAATTGAAGCTCAGTATTCCAAAGTTGCTCTGCACATTGTCCTGCTGCAAATCTCTGTTAATTAACTACTGCAAGAGGAAGCTATCTGGGTGTTGAGCTAGGCACTGATCTCTGAGTATAGCAGAACATCAGGAGTCATTCCATTGCTATGTTCCTATAGCAGAAGAATAGTAGCAAGTTTTCTCCTAGGCCCATGGCTTATCTAGTCTCAAATTCTTGGTGACTTTAGAAGTGTCAGGTATAGATTCCACCTGATGGGGAGGGCTTTAAATCCAATTTTTTTTAAAAAGCAGCTAGTTACTCCTATAGCATATATGACACGCTTGCCTGAGTATGACTTACAGGTAGATACTGTTGTTTATATCTTGTTACCACTTTGGAAAGTACGTTTTTCTTCACTCTTTAGTGTTGGGTATTTGAAATTCTGCATATTTTCTTCATTCAATGCAGGTTTTGATTAGGTTTTTGTGGTTGTTTCTCTTTCATATCCAAGGTAGATCTCTAGAGCAGCCCATATCAAATCTCTTCATAATTCCAGACACTTATTTTCACATGCCTCATACTTTCTTCTCATAAAGACATGTCCTTTTGTGTTATTCTTGAAGAACATTATTCAAATATTTTCTACAGTTCCCCATCTCCTTCTTATGAAAGAAAAAAATCTTCTAGACAGCATTTTCCTTGTCTTATAAAATAAAGAATTCATATACCACATATTTCCTATTTTAGAAAAGAAAAGTTATATTGAAGCCACTATTATCAAAAGACAGAAAAGGTGAATGTTTCTCAGGAACAATTACCAGCTTTCTCTTCTGAACTAATTCAGTTAAAACTCTTTGTCTCTCAGAGAAGAGATAAGGTCACTATAATATATATAGAAGTCCCTAATTTGTGGCTCTTCTGTCTCTTAAATGGTTCACTGACTAGGGAGAGGCACCGTGGCATGAGCAATGCAAACAGACTATGTATTAGGCCTGACAGAACATCTCTGTGGTGGTGATTAGCAACACAAAATGTCCATGTTGTTTGCCCCTGTAGGGACTCTGCAGTGTAATGTCTTCAGATTTGGCAAAAGATAGAACAAGGCAGAAAGGTGCTGTCTAGGTACACAGCCTATTTCTAGTCCAGAAAGAATAACATCCTCAAAGACATCCGCATCAGGACTAAGCCAACCTTTTATCTCATCCCTGGGGCAGTAAGTAGCTTTCATTCTGCGTCAAGTGGGTAGACAAATGGAACCGGACTAAGAATGGGCAGGTAAAGGGGTTTTCTTCAGACCTTGATATAGTATCTCTGCTCTTTAAACTCCCAATGCCTGTTCCAACACGTGTAATCTATGAATCTAAGTGTATTCCTGAAAGAACATCTGTAACATAAGTAAAATGTGTTTACCTTTGTCTGCTTGACACATTCCATCTAACTGTAACACTCTATCCAAATTGGAACATTTCCTCTAGGAATGAGGAGAAACCCAGCAGACAAAGGTAAATAGAAAATCAGGTGCTCTGGGTAATTGGAAGATTCTGGAGCCCCCCCCCCACAACAATGCGGGAGGAGTAAACAGTTGCTGGTATTGGAGATGTTTGCCAGCCAACTTTGTGAAAGGAATGACAGGTTCAGATGATGGTGCAGCCTGAAAGCTACAAGAACTGCCCCAGGGTTGCTGGCTTTGGCCTCTACCACCCATCCTGGGGTAGGATTTCCAGTGATGCAGGTGCTTTTAAATTACCCATGTCCTTATCAGTGACCCCTCACTCATACTCCCGTTAGGGATCCAGAAGAAGAAAGTACTGGTTCGCCAATCAGGCATTGCTACAATTGGCACTTTAGTATTTGGTCAGTGGTGGGTTCCCTTTCTGTGGTGAGTGCATGTGTATGTGTTGTGTCTCCTCAGGAAGTCTCTCGCAGGAGCATCTGGAAGCACTCACTTCATGTCATAAAGGTTTAACCTTCAGATTAGCCCAATCACTTGAGGTATCAACAAACTTGATGTGTAACACATCTCCCGAGCTATGGAATAACCACAGATTAATGAGTGATGTTCCTGTAAACCAGTGAAAACTATTTCTAATGAGAAAAGGAACTCTCTCACAGACAATCCACATGGCTTCACTGGACATGACTGGTCTCCTGACATAACCCCTTCCAACCACACTGGCATACCTATCCTTTTAAAATATTGTTCAAGACAAGGCAAAAGTAGTATCCTGGTTATGGAAGAAAAAAATCAAAATTAAAACTTGCCTTTTATGCATGAGCCCCACAGTGTTACTGTAAAGGAGTCCTTGAAAAAAGTTACATAAACAGTGTGTCAGTTTCTGTCGCACGTAGATTTGTAAATAGTTATGATGATATATTGAAGGTTCTTTGAATAACTACAAGTAGCATAATTAATATATCTAAAGGAAAAATTTAAGTACACGTGCCTCAATATGACTTCTTGTTTGATTATAGGGTGACAAGAAAAATAGAATTTGTTTAAAAATAAAATCTAACCACCAGTTTCACCCCCAAAGAAGGTTCCAGAATATTTTATAAAACTGAAACTCCACCATCTTGTTTCTAGCTCATTCTAGAAACAGTTAAGAGGATTTATTCTACCTTTTCCCTCTGCCACATAAAAAAATGTTCTATATTTTTCTGTTAATAGCTCTTCAAGATCTACAAGGTGATGTGGAATATTACACACTGTTTTGGAATTCTGGGACCTCGGAGGAATCTCTGAAAATCTTCCCAGATGTAGACTTTCACGTCATTGGCCACTTAGCTCCGAATGTGGAGTACCAGGTTGTCCTCTTGGTTTTCAATGGAGTCCATGCAATCAACAGCACGGTGGTGCAGGTGACCACACGGGAGGAGGGTGAGTGACGATTTCAAGGGCCCCTTGGCTTCAGACATGCCAATGGTATTGACGGATCCTTCTGGAGCTAACATCAGTCATCCTTCCTTTATAAAACTCCTGATGCCTGATGCTGAAAGGAAGGGGTAGGAACCAAAACACTTAGGTGCCCCTTGTCACAAAGGGACATATGAATAGAGCAGGACCTTTGAAACACCAACTCAGAGCTGAAATAATCACCATCAGGCCAGTTTCTCCTTGTTCGTTGCAGTGAAGTCTTAGTTGAGAGCTAGTTCATAACAATAAAAGGTAACATTTAGCAACATCTTTTTTCTAAGATTAGTCCTCAAAAGCATGGTGCATTTCAAAATGACACCAAGCTCAGGGAGAGCCCTCCCCAAATAAAAAAAAAAAAAAAACAGTAGGCTGAGGCACAGCCTCGAAGAAGAATTTCATGTCTCGGTTTCTAAGCCAGTTAGCGAGGGAGAGGAAGCCAGAGAATCAACTTGTGAGTCGGAAATGAGTCTGGAATGGTCGTCCTAATCTTTCTGGCTTTATATGATCTCATTATAAACATTATAATATCGTTACCTCCCAAGCAAGTGTTCCAGGCCATTAGCAGAACTCTTTAAGGATGGAAGCCATTTCCCTTTGTGATGCCAAAGGTCAGCACCTTTTGTTTATAAAATAGGATGGATCACAAGGACGATTTTTCAACTAGTTAAGATGAGTTCTTATGATAAAAATAGGCCTTGGCGTAGTTATTTCTGACATGCTTGAATAATTGTGTAATTTAACGCTAAGCAAGATTTTTTTTCTAATGCTAGATTTCATCATTACCTATGGTAATCAACACTCAAAATCATTTACATAATGACAATATTGCATTATTGCTTCATATCGCTTGAGTTACAAGCTAGTAACAGCGGATGATTTTTTTTTTTTTACATCCCAGCAGCGTCCATGTACTTGAATTTTATTTTATTTTATTTGACTTGAAGAGCAAATCCCTCTCCCTCCTCCAAGGAGATATAAAGAGAAGGGTTGAAAAGAGACAGATACTAGACAGCTGTGAGAGACGCAGACGGATGGGTGATTCATCATTTGGATCCCACTGGCCACAGAGCATTGAAGATTAGCACTATGCTGGTGGTATGAAGCATTTTGCCACCAATTCCTTTTGGTTTCTGACTGAGAGTCTAATAAGCCAATTTGCAGAGAACTTCAGACTGTGATGACTTCATCATAGGAAAACAGATAAGCAAAGAGCCCTTTGCTAAGCCTCCGGACCAATCTGCATTTAGTCTAACAAGTGCTTTGGCTGAGACAGCTGGAGCTTATTCGGTTCCCCTTCTTTTAATTCTAGAGCCTCAGGGCATGGTTCCCCCAGAGGTTGTCATCATCAACAGTACAGCTGTACGTGTCATCTGGACATCTCCTTCAAACACAAATGCCGTTGTCACCGAGTCTTCTGTCTATGTAAATAATAAGCTCTACAAGACTGGAACGGATGCGCCCGGGTCGTTTGTTCTGGAAGACCTGTCTCCCTTCACTCTCTATGACATTCAGGTCAGACCATTGTTTTGTTTCTTTTTGGGTGGTTAAGCCCGTGGATGTGTTAAATAAAACATGCCGAGGAATGCCTCTGAGTGGAGGCCCTTTGTCCTGGCTACAGATTATTGTTTATTCGATGGGAAAGGGAAAAGAAAAGAAGGAAATTGACCGGAAAGAAAGCTGTTTGCTGTGAGGACTCATAGTCTTGAACCCCTAGAGAAGAGCTTCTGGCTAAGATGGAGCCAGTGCTAATGAGGGAGATGACAAAGAGCCCATTGATGAAAGAAAGTTAACCACATCATCACCAAAACTGTCTTTCCAGTTTGTCCTCTTAGGAAGATAACTACCTCATCACTAAAAACCAGTCTTGCTAGTTTGTCTTACTAGGAAGCTAATCAATCAGCACCAAAAATCAGTCTTTCTAGTCTTTCTTCGTTCTCTACCGTTTCTTCAAATCAAAACCGGAATTCACTTGCTGATGTAGAGATTTCTCTGTTCTTTTTTTTCTGATACTTACTCAGGGAAGAAGCATTGCTTGATGGCTGTCCTGGCTGTCCACTGTTCCTAATCTAAGGGCCTGGCATAGATGTTGTGAAATAGTCTCTGTTCCACTAGCATTCCTGATTTCAAATGCAACAGGAAAACATAAAAAGCAGCCAATAAAAGAAAAGAAATCAAAACCAAAAACCTGAAAAGGAAACAAACATAAAGGATTATACCTGCACCCCATTCCTCATGGCTGCATTAAAATAGTTTGTCTTTGGAAATCTGGGAGAATCTTCAAGTCTATGCCTCCCTCCCTGGAAGAATTTTTACACACTTACACTACATGCCAATTTTTATCATGGAGTTCAGAGAGCACTGTGTCTACGTGAAGCTGGTGGGCCTCTTCAGGGCCTACTGAGTAAAACCAGGAGAAATATCAGGGCACTAATGTGTATGAGACACAAAGTTACCCTGGAGGATCTGGGTATCTTCTGGCTGTCAGCTACAGGAAATAACAAGGCCCAGAAAAGAAACAAGTGACGGAAAGATTTCAGGAGCTTGGCATTCATAAAGAAGACTGCAATTTAGTAAATTTTTAAATAATCTATGCAACTTCTAAAATTCATGAGCAGTTCATGAATAATTTCAAAAAGGTATTAAATGTAGGAATTTTATTTGACCCCAGAAACATTTTGTCACTGGTGCTGTGTCTACCCCGTGTCACATGTCGGTTTTTTCCATGTCTGGGAGAGTTTTTTCCATCTACAGCATTTTAATTAATTAATTACTTTTAGTGTGTCTGTGTGTGTGTGCGCGCCCGCCTGTGTGGATGTGGGGGGGGGGGGGAATGGGTGTATAGTCCAGAATTGGTTAATTAAGTAAAATTTGGCTGCAGTCCTCCAGCCATCCCTACTGGGACAACAGGCTTGACTTCACAAATAACCAAAAGAAGCAACAGACACCAAAAAAAAAAACTTTCATGAATTGTTTTTTTTCCCTTTGTACAAGCTATGCGAGTTTCATTAGCAATGCATTACATTATATTACACTTGCACATGTGGACTCAGGTTTGCAGTCACACTCCTTAGAAAGAGTCCACACGTATAAGAAGACCACATATGGATCAATTCCTAAAACCATGAAATTACACCTTAGTGAACAAAGAACACAGGATGGTGATAGATGCTGTACCGTGAGGTCTTCGTTGGGTCCCTGTTGTAGGACAGGGCTGAGCTCTGAGAAGGAAGCATGGTCAACTGCCTTAAAGTCTTGAGCTAGAAAGGTAGTCCAGTGGTCAAGAGCTCTTGCTGTGCCACCATGAGATCCTAGCACCCACGTGATAATCCACGAGTCCTGAAATATTCTCTAAGAAATCTTGATACCATCTTCCGGCCTACACACATACATACACACATACACATGCACAAACACACACAGTCACACACAGCCACACTCATAGACACACACACACACACACACATACCAAAATTAATTAATTAGTTAATTAATTAAAAAACCTAGATATCAAACTGATCAGGCTGAGTTCAGGCTGATGGTGAGAACATTGGGGCTGTGTGCACACATGCCACTCAACATTGGTCTATAGAACAAGGCCTGTCATAGAAAATCACATGCCATGCCCCCTTTAGTAAAATGGAAACTTTACTCATACTGCTGGGTTGGGTCAGTTATGACCTGAAGAAAGCATATTTTCATCAGACTTGTGTCCCTGAAACAGAGACAGAAGGCCAAAGCTGAAGCCAATATATTTGAGTGTTTTCCTTAATCTCTGTGTTGTGAGACTTGCTGTTGTCTAGAGTTATCATATATGGCATACATACACATGGCTTATATCTGAATGCTAAATTTTAGTGACTTTTTATGATGATAAACATCATTTAAATTGGCATTGAACAGTTATGCCCAATATTTAGAATGAAACTTCCTTAGGTTAACCTCTTACACAAGATAGTGATTGATTTAAAGCTGATCAAATACCCCAGCTGTCTTGTTGAATAAATTAATTCATGTCACCCTTTTGAAAGGCAATCATAACTTCAATTTTGAAACTTGGGTTTTGGCCTTTTTGAGTAAATGTGGTAAACCCTCATGTTTACATTTTGTTCATGTTATTCAGCATATGGTACTAGAAACATGCTCAAGGCAGAAACTGGTAATGTTATATTAGTTAGAATGAAGTTACGTGTAATACTTAGCAGAGAAAGTGGTAGGATGTAGTAAATCCCGGAACAAATACCAGACAACTGACAAGTTTGGGGATTTCCTGATTTCTCTGCCTTCTGATTGACAGCTGGGGACAGTTCCCATGCTGTTAAGCACAATGGGGTGCCAATTCCACCGTATCCCATTTCTTCACCAGCTAGAAGGGAGGACTCAAACATGAAGAAGCAAGGTGACGGCTCCATTCCCTACACTCACTTACATGGTAAACATGTAACATGTAAACACATGTTGAAATGCATATGTTACCCCACAAACCCAAACAATCATTTTATATCCAGAAGACATTAAAAAACTACTTGGTCAAGAGCCAGTCAGAAATATGTTGGGCATGCTGAAGACATAATGAATTTCATTGAATTTCTTGGGTTAATCTCATTGCATGCCAGAGTCCAATAACTTCCAGTGTGCATAAAACTGATGTCATTGTATTTTAAGATGATCTACCTTAAAAGTTGTTCCATGTTTGTATTTAATCATAGTAGAGGATCTTGAGAACAATTAAGTCACTGAACTGTTACTACAAAAGGTAATATTATAACTGCACATAACACAGAAGATACATTGTAGCAAATACATGCCCAGTTCCTGTTTAGATACACAGCACTGCTGGGAACAAAATGGTGTCTACTAAATACAGCGTGAATCTCATCGGCCAAGCTCCAATGTAAGGAACTGACTTAAAACTATAGCCCCAGAATTTAAGGACCATCAGTACATAGAATTCCTTTACCTGCATGTAAGGCATTGAATGTCCATTAGAAGGAGAAAAAGAACAGTTCAGGCTAGAGAGATGGCTCTGTGGTTAAGAGGACCTGGTGCTCTTGGAGAAGACTCAAACTCCAGTCCTAACTCTTACATCAAGTGACTTCCAACTGCCCATCACTCAACTTGCAATGGATCTGCCTCCCCATTCTGTCCTCCATGGGAATGCAAACACATGTTGTGCATACACACCCTCAGATATACACATTGTTTAAAGTAAATGAATCTTTTTAAAAAGAAATACAATGGATTTCATCCTTTAATTGAGAGTAGAATAGTACTGTATGTGGTGGCTGCTCCAACTGCTCTCCCCCGTACATCCTCTCGTTCCTCCTTCCAGCTACTGGATACACTCCTTTGGGGTTACTGAAATGTGATGGGCCCCATTTCCAATCCTAAATTCTTCCACCCTTTCCGTTTTTTATTCTAAGTAGGTGGCAGAATTTAAGGGGTGAGTGATGGTTTTCTGCTGTGATTAAGGGGACAGTACTATTGCAGCTGGAACAAATGGATATAAAATAGCTCGGCCCATTGGGAGGTTTCCCCGGGCTTCATTTTTCTCCCATTAGATATTAGCATTTAGGCAATTTGTTGTAAGGTGTCAAGACTTCCAGGCGATATCATCATTACACCACGTGGTTATAGATCTGGGAAGCACTGTGCAGGGATAACCTATTAGGCTTGGGAATCGCCACCTGAGCATCTCCCATTCTCTGACTGTGCTGAATAGGTTAATAAGCCCTTCTCCTCATGAACGGTTAGAACCAGAGACCGAGTATCACCATGCTAATCACTAAATCAATTGTCTCGAGCTCAATTCTGTATTCTCTTCTGAGCTTGTGCCACTGGACTCGATTCACATAAAAAAAATTGAATATTTACTAAGCCTCATGAGGTTATAGAGGGCTTGAAGAGATTCATATGAAAAGTGGGGGAGGTAGATTCTGAGTGTTATTGCTCTGTCTTGAAGATGATTATATTTATTCCTTTCCAAACTAATCTTTGCAGGTGGAAGTCTGTACAAAAGACGCCTGTGTGAAAAGCAATGGAACCCAAGTCAGCACAGCGGAAGATACTCCAAGTGACATTTCAATACCTATAATCCATGATATTACTTCAAGGTACCTAGCTTTTTATCAGTCAATCTAAACAACTTTGATCATAAGAAATGGAAGCAAATATCAAAGAAATCAGGTTAGCCATGAAAATCTCACTTAAAAGTTGCTGTAAATATGGGTACATATCAAATTTCTTATATTTCTCTAATAATCTATATTGCATATCAGAACACTGAAAGCTGTTTTCCTGATCCCATATTCCTTGCCTAGTCACCTATTAACAGATAAACATAAGAGAACCTCTCCATTTAAATGTGCCCTTTTAATGAATTCTGTTGTGAAGCAAAATATAATTTTAATTAGAGTTAACACTTTATGACTGAATCTCTTACAAAATATTTGATTTATGTATTTCAGATTACCCCAAAAGCTAGAAATGTAGATCAAATAGTATTTAAAAAGCTGTTAACAAGTTTGTCAGATTCTTAGTAGAATCTCTTTCTTTAGTCTTTCTTTGCTAAGAAACTGCCAGAGATTGGAAGGGAGTCCTTTAATAATTCAGAGTTGGGACTGGAGATATAGCTCTATGAAGTCCAGCCTGGACTAGAAAACAAGTTCCAGGTGAGCCAAGGCTGTATAGTAAGACCCTGTCTCAACAAACAAACTAAAGAATGGTAGTAAGTGCTTATTTTGGCAGCATATATATTAAAATTATAATGATACAGAGACTGTTAACATGGCTCCTGCACAAGGATGACAAACAATAATAATAATTAATAATAATAATACACTATTAACAGCAATAAGATTTAATGTTCTTTCCAAGTATAGAAGTGAGGCTGTTATTGCCGATCCTTCTGTACTCTGTGAGGCTGAAGAAGGAAATGCATGTGGTCCCCTGTCCCACTTTGACCCTAATGAGACAAATCACCATTCACCAAAATACATGTAGACTGACTCTGTCCACCACTGTGTGTTTCCAATACTAAAGGTTCAGCCAGAACATACAGATGTCTCTAGTTTTTGCTCTTTTTTTTTATTTTGTACTTTTTATTTTTGCCGTCAATATAAAAATAGGTATGTTGAATTTAGCAAACCATAATTATAACAATTAGCAAACGCAAGTAGCTGGACATTAGCTACTGATGTTAAAATTGTACCTTGTCTTCTTAAGTGTGCTCTCAAAGGAAACAAAAATCATACATTCCCATCTAATTTGAGATGTTATAGTTAACATTATCCTTCCTGTCAATTTTTGCCATGTACACAAGGACTAGGTGCTTGCTGTGTAACAAGTTAATTGGCCATTAGAGATTTCTATTAACTGTCTAATCAAACATATTTGTGGTTATAATAAAATAGGAAACAAAAGCAATTCCAAAGGAAAAGTACAATTTTAAATTTGCAAAGTTTCATCCTATAGTGGAGGTAAGATATTAAATAGATATTTACAAAATATGTAAAAATACTGTCAATATTGACAATGTGCAAGACATCCATAAAGTGGAAAATCCCATGCTCTGGTGAGGATTGTGAAGGACAGAAAGAATCTTGGAGGATAGGGCACTGAGTCCTTTTTAACGTCTGAAAACAACTACAGTTCCTGAGATGGGTACTGTGCTGTTCTTATCTCCTGGAATCTTTATAAATCACACTCTCCGAGTGGCAAAGCACTGTGCCTCAAACTATATATTCACACCCATCAAAAAGTTGTCTCTAAGCTTTACAAGAAATTGAAGCAATATGTCTGGGGCGCCATGATTTTATTTTGTCCTTTGTGGAGATTACTATGGATAATAATAGAGGGACAATGCCAGGAAATCAAGACTGTATCTTCCCTTGTAAGAAGTTGATGCAAGACCATTCGAATGAACATGGTGCTCCAAGAATGGAGAAAGTGAGAGAGGAGGCACCCTCACAAGCCAGTTCTGAACACAGCTTTGGAAACGGAACTTATATAGAAGAAGCAAATTGTTTATAATGGTTAGTAAAGTTGTATTGGAGACAGAGAGAACAATATGAAACAAGCTTATTTTCTGAAGAAAATCTGGGAATATAGAAACAGGAGATACTATGGAGGAGTGGGTAGGCGAAGTAAAGGTCAAAGGTGAACCTGGATGAAAATCTATAATACAAAGTGATTGGTACCCAACGTCTCTCCCCCTGCAGACCTATCCAAGTGTTTTTCTTCTTCCTGTGGTCCAGTCCACCTATCAAGAAATTAGTCAGTTATTTGCTAGGGAAACTTAGTGGTGTATATTAAGAACTGTGGACACCAGGCACAGAGTAGCAGAGACCATGCAGAGAGGTAAAATCAGAGATCCAGACTACAGTGTAAACACAGAATATGAATACATTCTGTAGTTCCATTCTCTATGTCAAGTACTCAGTCAGAAATGCCCTCTTCTAAGAAACTGCTAATTTTTGTCTGGAAAACAATGAATCACAGAATGTAAAATACTTCCATATAATAGAATGTGGGATCCTCCAAAAGATATGGATAACAGTTTGTACTTCAGGTATCCAGTCAGGTATTCTGATCAGCCACCTGTGAAATTTCTGAGGCTCCAAGCCAGCTTTATATGGGGTGGGTACACCACTCTACAAGTTGGACAAAAGGACCAAGAGTACGTGTGCAGAAAAGACACAATCTAAAAGAAGAGGAAAGCCTCTGTTAAGGAGAGAAAACCAGGATACCAGAAAAATAAAAGGAGTCATTGACAGGAGAAGAAGCGACGTTGTAGGTGTTGGAAGTTTGAGCGCTGAGGTCAAACTTCGGAAGAAACTCTGTGATGCTGTTTCTGAAAATGCAGTAAGAAAGGAGAGAAAATGGAAAGCTGGGGAAGTTCAGATGCGCTGAGATATACAACTGTGAAGAGCCTGCACTTCACTAAAGTGGAGAAAAAGTAACCGAAGAAACATGTTGAGTGGCAGCTGAGTCACGTGGCTGCTGAGTCACGTGGCCTAGCAAATACATTCACAAAGCATCCTCAGCATCTTCTACCCCCGACCAAGATGTGGGGGAGCTTTATGGAGGAGGAGGTCTTATGTTTTTAATAGAAATTATTGGTATATGGGGGTCTTTCTCTCCTTATTTACCGATATCTTATAATAGGTATGTAGTGATAGATTACTATAATTCTAATTTGCATTTCCCTGAAGTCTGATGAGATGGGTATCTTTTCCTACATTATTTGTCAGTTACCTAATTGAGGGAAATCCCTGCAAATCTATTGCTAGTTTAATTGGATTCGTTATTTTCTTGTTAGGTTTGTCAAGTTTTTCATAAAGCTATATACATATATATTTGGAAATTAATTCTGTCTAATGTTTTGCAGCAACTGTTTTCTCCAGTCTATGACTTGTCTTATGGTTTGGGAAAGAGGGGGGTTGTTCTGTTCTGTTGTGTTCTGTTCTGAGACCAAGGTCTCATGTAGTCTTATGGTCCCAAATGGCTTCAGACTTGCTACGTGTAGCATAGTGTCTTGTCTTCTATTCCTATGAAGAGACATCATGGCCTCAGTGATTCTTACAAAGGAAAGCATTTAAATGGAGGTGGCTTAGAGTTTCAGGGGGTTAGTCTGTTGTCATCATTAGCATGGCAGCAGACGGGCAGACATGATGCTAGGGAGGTAGCTACTGTCCCACATCCAGTCAGCAAGCAGCAAGAAGAAAGAGACATTGAGCCTGGCTTGAGCATTTAAAACCCCAAAGCTTACGTCCAGTAACACACTTCCTCCAACAAGGCCACACCTCCAAATCCCTGTCAAGTGCACCACTCCCTAATGATCAAGCATTCAAATATATGAGCCTATAGGGGCCATGTCTGTTCAAACTACCACACCTCCAGAGACCCTGAACTTCTCATCTTCCTGTCTCAGACTCCCAAGTGCTGGGATGGTAGGAGTGGGCCACCATACCAGGCCACAGTGAAGAATCTTCTCAAGTCACTTAGTAGATTTTTTACAAAACAAAAGACTTAAATGTCAGGGGCATTGGCTTTGCCTTTACTTCCTTGTCTGTCTTCTACATCTGGTGTTAACACAAGACCTCTGTTCTATCTGAGCTTTGGAGCTTCTCTGCTACAAGTTCAAGTTCAAGATCATCTTGGGATGTATGAAATCCTGAGTCAAAGGAAAAACCAAAACTCCAGAAATACAAATTATATTCCTACTAACTTTCTTCTCCTAGAACAGTTCTCTGTTTATATTTTGAATTTATGTCTGTAATTAAAACTGATGTGTGGAACAAGATTAGTATTATTTTTATTTTATTAGTATTTTTTAAGTAAGTATTCTGTTGCTGCAACCCAATTTATTACAGTGAGTATTTTTTCTTCTGAATATTTTAGAATTCTGAGAAAAGTGAATATGAACACATTCTATAGAGCACTTTTGAGTCTTCTATTGAGTTTATCGCTATGTCTATCAGATCACTGGCATCATGAGTCTACATGCTGCTTGTTACAGATCCATGTGACCTATGGAAGCATACAGTCTGACTCTTCTGTCTGATCTTCTTAAAGCCTGTTTTAGCTTTTTCTTTTAATTCTGTTTTTCCAAAGAGATTTTGGAAACAGTTTCTAATATCCACAAAACTCTCTGTAGTTTTAATTAGAACTACATTAAATCTGTGAGTCAACTGGAAGAAAATCTGTCTCTCAATAGTATCTAATCCTTCAAGTGTTAGGCACGTAAATCGCTTATGTATTTGATACATCCATCTCATCGGCATTTGATAGAGCCCAGTACACAGTTGTGAAGGTGTTCCATTAGATGTGTCCCTAATTGTTTCCTTTTAGGGGTATCACTATTAATGTTCCTTTAAGCAAATTAAAATTTAATTGTTTGTTATTGGCATGGAGAAACACCATTGATTTTGATATAATAAAACTGTGTTCAGCAACCTTACTACATTCATTATGAGCCTTGGACACAAACAGTATTGTAGATTCCAGAATTCTACACAGATCTGCGAAACAAAGCTTTCAGCCCCTTACCATTAAGGATGCTATTTGTCGCCTATGAAACGTAGAGAGGAACCTTTTATCAGGTGGAGGAATTATCTTTTGGTACTCACTCTCTGAGCATTATTGTTATAAATGTGTATAAAATCATGTCACATATTTCCCCACACTTCACATCTTTAGATGATTAATTATGTGCTAATTGAAAAGACATTAAGCAGTCAGCTTTCTCTGGCTAAACCCTGCAATGGCTGTGATATGTGCTTCACCTTTTACATGCTGCTGGGAGCCACTGGCTTTAGTCTGCAGATGTTTCTGCCTCTCTCATAGAACTGCTTCCTCGTGCCTTTTCTTCTGGCAATGCCTATAGCTTGTTTGACTGCCTTGCTGATCCTGTCCATATAGAATGGGTTGAGGGCTATTCCTTTCTTGATTTTGTAGAGAAATTCCCTAAGACGTTATTATATACTTCTTAAATGTTGGTGGAATTCATCAACGAAACCCACTTTTGCTTCGAGTTTTTTTTTTTTTTGAGAAAAACTTTTAACTTGGAATGCAATTTTCTTAATTATTTGTAGTTTTCCTAGCTGTTTCTTTCCAACTGAGCTTTTGTTTTTAACTTGGTTATGCAAAGAGTTGGTCAATTTCAGACAATTTGTCAGCTTTAAGGGCAGAATTCTGTTTAAAATGTATGTGTTGCTTTATTTCCTTCTATGGTAGAGTCTTTTCAAAGGCTTGTAATTTAGATGGTCTTGGTTTTATTGATGTTTTCTGTTTTTTATTGCTTCTTTGATGATTTATGCAAATTTATTTTTATCATGT